ACAGAGCCCCACCGAGGGGCCACAGCAGAGCAGGGCATTTTGTCTTACGCGATGACAGACCGCAACCTGACAGACAGTGACTCTTTGGTCTACTGAAAACAAAAGTGGTTCATTGCATACAAGTGAAGTACCTAACAGAAGAGTTTAAGGGAAGAATTTTTGGGAAACTGAAGTTGGAAAAGTAGACTGAGGTCACACAGATATGATCCATTAAGACCAGAAACTGAAACGTGAGACCTAGTCATAATAATGGGAAGCACAAATGACGACTACTTGTAACCTACACATGCACCCGACGTCCTCACTCTGCACCTGGGAACACACCAAATGCAGTGTTCTCCAAGGTCGGTTTCGTGCAGTACTACTCCCGCAAGGTTTTTAAATTTATTTTTATTTTTATTTTTGCACACAATTTGGGAAACACTGTGTACCGTATCTTACAGACACTCTCAGTCCATCCACCTCCATTCAAACGCACAATGATGGCAAGTCCATGAAAGGCTCTCAAAAGTCAAGACCAAACCAACCTTTCAGCTTTTTTTTTTTTTTTTGGTTTGTTTGTTTTATTTTATTTTTTTAAGAGGCTTTTTTTTGCTATAGGGCACGTGCACTCGCCAGACAGACAGAGAGAGACAGAGAGACAGAAAGCGAGAAATCACCCCCCAGTGGGGCTGGCCATGCTGCAATCCCTTCTCCTCCATTCTCCTCTTGGGATCTTGGGCACACACACACATGTGCTTGGCATGAGTTTAAGCCACCATGTCCGGGACTCAAACCGCGGTCAACTACATGAGAGTCCAGCGACATAGCCATTATGCTAACTGCTGGTCCCCAGCTTTGTTTATCTTACTTACCTGACTCCACTTTTTTTGCTTGTGACACCTATTAACATTCTATATATTTTGAAGAATGCTGATTGAAAAATTTACAGATACTCAAACACTACCTTACACATTCATGCAAGGAAATATCTTTTTTTTTTCAAATTTTTTTAAAAAATTATTTATTTTAATTTGACCAGAGAGAGATATACAGAGAGAGAGAGAGAGAAAGTGAGAAAGCAAGCCACCAGGTCCAGGACTCAAACTGTGGTCGACCATGTGGGAGTGTCCAGCGCCTTAACCACCACGCCACCTGCTGGTCCCCAGGAAATATCTTGAACTAATATTTTTATATATACATAGACAAACACACATAAAATCCAAGTACAGCAAAAATACTCTTATAGCAAAGGATTTTTACAAGACATAAAATGTTCTGTGCTTTTTTTTAAAATTTTTTTTTTAATTTTTGCTTTTCCTCTTTTTTCAGAGTGTACAAATTCTTGCCAGACAGAGACAGAGAGGGGGGAAGAAAACACCTCCCGCTGGGGTGTGTTCATGCCACAAGCCTTTCTCCTCCACTTCTCCACCCTGTTGGGATTTGGGGCACTCACACGCACTTGTGTGGCTTGCTTAGCTATGGAGGATCTGGCTCCTTTAACTCCTAGGCCATGGGGCTGGCCCTAACTGTTATATCTTGAGTTGATTCTGTTTTCTTAGTCAGGTAATAGTCAGTCTCTTTTGCATATAGTCCATAGAGAAAACACTGATTGTATATGATTTAAGCATAAAATGAAATGAGAGGACACTCTACAACGTCAGTCAAAAAGCTGGATTGTTTCTTGCTCCAACATTTTTTCAAGAATTATTTTATTTGGGAAGAAGAATCCACAAGTCTGGAGTTGAATATTATCCCAGAATTTAATTGGGAAGATGGAACTACAACAGAAGATAGATTAAGTACATGAGACTGAACTGTGAAATAGCATTTTATGACTTTTGACTAAAACATTGCTGATTTTCTTCTAGACTTGTTGTCCGGTTTTAAGGATTTTTGTCCTGTCTTGAGTTGCCGATAGGTTCATGTTTGAACAGAATTTGAACAGAATCCTAACTTGTTTCCTGGCTTTAAGTTTTAAGCAAAGTTCCTTAGCATTTCTTTGATTTATTAAAGTTAAAACTGCTTTTCTTAAAATTACCAGTTGAACTTGCTATGTGATCAATAAAATGTCAGGGGAAAAGGAATGGAAGACAATTGTAGACACCAGAGATAGTGTGGAAGGAGGGTGGGAAATGGCAGAGGGTCAGAAATAGGGGTATACACACACACACACACACACACACACACACACATATGAAACTAGGAATGGAAAATTATTGATGATAACATGCATATTTAATCCACTATGTAGAATATTCTGGATGGGAACTCACATTTTGTATGCTGTGACAATGCTTAGGGAATGAATGTAAATTAATTAATTTTTAAAAATGTTTCAGGAAAAAAAAAAGAAGCTCATGGCAATACGTGTAATGGGATAACTGTATGAATTTCAAAAAGTTTTTGTACCAAAGTAAATATATACTTCGATGTAAAAATATTTTTAAAAGAATTATTTTATTTGATATATTATTATTATGATTACTTTAATTTGACCAGAGAGAGAGAGGGAAAGAAAAGCAAGCCACCAGGGCCAGGACTCAAACTGCGGTCAGCTATGTGGGAGTCCAGTGCTTTAACCACCACTATACCTGCTGGCCCCATATCTAACATTTTCTTAACCCAACCAAAAAGAGGAACTTTCCCTGACCCTATTCACACTTCCAATAGGATTTAAAACCTTAGGAACTCGAAGCTAAGGAGTTCCACAGGTTCAGTGCCACAGTCTGTCACTGACCACACAGTCCCCTGCAACGCTTCCTCTTTGATTACTTATTTTACTGATCACTCCCGATTTTTTTTTTTTTTGTCTTTTTAATTTTGTCAGAGGGCACAATCACTTGCTAGAGAGAAAGAGGCAGAGAGAGGAGATGAGTGAGCAAGCACCCCGCCCAAAGCCATGGAGTGTGGTCACAGCACAATCCCTTCTCCATTTCCCTCTCCTTTCGGACTCTGAGCATGGACGTGTGTGCGTGCAAGCGCACACACACACACACACACACACACACACACAGACGCCCAGTGTCACTTTCAAGCTGCTGAGTCCGTACAGTCCAAGTGGGATCCAGCACCTTATCCACCAGGCCACAGGCTGGCCCACAGAGGTTTTATTTCCATAATTCAAATCTACAGAAAAGAAAAAAGGACAGTACGATCCACACCTGTACAACACTCTTCTTGACTCACATTTGGTATATTCCTGAACGTCTTCTGCTATCCCTATTCTTTTTTCTTTTCTTTTCCTTTTTCTGAACCAGCTGAAAGTTTCAGGCGTCCTGACACCTCACCTCTAATACCCACATCTCCAAAGAATAAGAATGGTCTCTTGTATAACTATCGCACCTTCAGAATATTAGCAGGAACTTCATAACATCATCTAATTTGCAGTCCACATTTTAAACCTCACCCATAGTCTCCAAATTGTCTTTCATAACTTCTTTCTCCCATCTAGAATTCAAAGTTCACACCTGCCAATTTGTTTTATCGTCTTATGAAAAGAGAAGGCTGAGGCAAAGCAAGTAAAACAAAGATGTATTTGGGCCAGGACAATCTCCTGGACATCACGTAATCCGTGTTGCCCCAATGATCTGTGCCAATGTGCAACAGACTTCAGGTTGGTCTTGAAGGCAAAAGTCATTCAGGGAGGGGGAAGAAGCAGCAAGGAGTCTTGCACAGCAGTGATTGGCTATAAACTCTCTGAAAAGGGCAGCGGGATACCTTACAATCACTGAGTCCCTTGGTGCAACTTAAGCAGAGTGTGGAGAGGGTGAGCCTGGAAGGTAAAGGAATGCATTTGGATGACAAGGATATTCATGAAACAAAATGCCAGATGAGTTGACTAGAACGACTTCAGGTACACATACCCAAGAAAGCCACAAGATGGACATAAGTTTTATTTCCTGATAGCGTGGACTTAGGTAGACGGAATCTCCTATTCTCAGGGAAAACTGACTTATTTGGGGCAATCTGTCCATTGCCTTAAAGTTTCAGTTTGAGGGCCAGCAGGTGGCTTGGAGGTTAAGGTGCTAGGTTCCACATGACTGACTCAGTGTGTTGAGTCCCAGGCCTGGTGACTTGAAAAATCACCAGGTGGTATGCATGCATGCCCCAAATCCTGGGAGGAGGCAGAGAAGGGATTGTAGCATGGCCATTCCCCTTGGGGAGGGGGGAGAATGTGTGATTTCTCACTTTCCCCCCTCTTGTCTCTCCCGTGAGTGCACAGGCCCTCTAGCAAAAAAAAAAAAAAAGTAAGTTTCAATCTGATAATGCTACATTTTAACATAAGTGACTCCATTTTTGTCTGGTCTGTTTGAGCCTAGAACAGGAACTCAGTTCAAAACATTGACCTAAATTTTTTATACCAAACTTGAGTATTTTAATCTACGACGATTGCTCTCCACTCTATTTTTTTCTTTTTTGTCAGAAACACGATATAGGCAAAGTTATGGCCTTATTACATCACAACAGGAGGCTTAGAATAGGTGCTACTAAAGATAATCACTGGGTTAAAGTAGTAACCTAATCTCTTCCACTGTCAGAGCACATTTTTCCTAAGGAAGTGAGTGAGTTACCTTGACACAGGGTGAAAATCCTGCTCCCCAATCACCTTTCTTTCACTGAGTCCTGGCCTCAATCTACTGTTCCATTCCGGTTTGCACAGCTTGGATTTTCTGGTTCTCTCACTCCTATTACGTATTTTTCAAACAATGACCTGTCAGTAGCATCCTCTCTTTCTCAGTGATACACTCTGGATATTTCAGCCAGGGCCTCCTCTCCCACCTCTTAGCTAACCGTGTTTGACAGCCCCGCCCAGCCCTAGGGAGCTGCTAGCCTTTTATCTGCTCATCCCACCCCTTCATCTTCAGCAAATTAAAGACAATCAAAAACGCCCACAGCATGGTAACCTACCACTGTACAGTAATTAACAAAACTTAACACGCTTGTAAATATTTATTGGGTTAGACCCAGGAGAGTAGAGAGAAGAAATCAGTTTCATAGTTTAAAAAAAATCAGATTACCTAAGCTCTGAAAAAATCTTTGCTCTTCACTAGGGCAAAGCTGCTTGCTCGGTCACAAGCAGGCTTTCTGTAATGGTGTTAGAAGCGCCCTCGTGTTTTCAGTTCCGTGACATTTGAGTCTTGGAAGAACAGCGGTTTAGAAATCAGCCCGAATCTCTCATTTTGCGTGAAGACAGAGGCCCAGCGGCGTGGAGGGACGTGCCGAGGGCCCCTCTGCTCCTTAATGGTGGAGATAGAACTGAACCGGGTTTTAAGAACACCTCCTCCTCCCTTCCCCAAAGCCTGGTGATTCAGAGGTTTAATGGGCGCAGAAGCCCAGCATCCACAGCCTCCTTCATTGCTAATTGCATTTGGACCGCATCCACCTTCCCACCTTTCAATACTTTCAGCACAAATGCCCGTTAGGAGCCTTTTATCGCTATTTTAAAAAATCAGCCTTCCTTTCTGCAGGCCAACAGCAAGCATTAAGAAAGTACATGCTACCATTACTTAAACCAGTGGAAAAATAAGTGTCTCGAGCCCTCCATCAGGCCGCTTCCTGAAGGCGGGTTTCTGGAAGGCTGAAACGCTCTGCGAGTGACAGCTCCGCGGGCCGCAGGAGAAGACGCGGGCCGGAGTCCACCGTTCCCGGTCGCCTGCTTCAGGGAGGCAGGGACTGCAGGGCACTCCGGGAGCTTACTGAACGTTCGCACGAGAGGAGAGAGGGGGAACAAAGCCCGGCGTGGAACAGCCCAGCTCCGCAGCCCGCAGGACAGCAGACCGCGCCCTCCCTGCAGCGGCCGGGCGGGCTGCAGAAGCGCAGAACCGTAGAACCGCAGCAGCGCAGTGCGGGCGTGGGACCCACAGCGCGGCGCCGCCCGCACTCAGCGCCCGGCAGTCACCGTCAGCCCGCGGGGCTGGGAGGCAGGAGCCAGCCCGGCTCTGCGCGCCCACCTGGCAGGGCGCCGACGCTGCGGAGCATCCTCCATCCCGCAGGGCGAGCTCGCGGCCCCCGCGCTCCGAGCCCCAAGGGCAGGCAGCGGGCCGCCCCCGC